CTACATTCAGTGTGAGCAGAGAAAGCCACAGATCGTCATCGCTAATAGTAGCCTCCAGTCTCTCCAGTCTGCCGTCAGAGCACAGCACAGTCAAAATGTCTTCAGAGAGATCAGAGTTCGTGTCACCTTCATTGCTTGTGCCATCGTCCACTGTGGGTAGTAGGAGAGAAAGCAGCAGCTCCCGGTTAGCAACAATAGAGGCCAGTGTGACATCAGAACAAAGCACACTGAGAGCATCTTTAGAAATCTCGTTGGCAGTATCACCCTCGTCAGTTGCGTCCTTGTCGACTTTTGTTGTTAGCAGAGAGACCAAGAGATCGTCATCAGCACATTTAGTGTCCAGGGTGGCATCAAGGCAAAGCACAGTTGGACAGTCTTTTGCAAGTTCAATGCTGCTGTCACCATCATCTGTTGCAGTATTGTCGATTGATGGTATTAGCAGGGGAAGCAGCAGGCCCTTATCACCACTAATAGTGTCCAGTTTGGCAGCGGGTGAGAGTACAGTGAAGGCGTCTTCAGAAAGTTCATTGCTGAAAGTACCATCCTCGGTCGTGAAATCGTCGTCTTTTGATGTGAGCAGTTCAATCAATGTATCCTTATCCTCCATAGTAGTATCCAGTAAGACTTCAGAGCAAAGGACAGTTGAGGTGTCGTCAGAAAGGTCAGTATTGGGATCACCTTTATCGGTAGCATTTTCGTCTACTTTGAGTCTGAGCAGAGAAAGCCAGAGATCGTCATCTTTAATAGTAGCCTCCAGTCTCTCCAGTCTGCCATCAGGGCACAGCACAGTCAAACTGTCTTCAGAGAGATCAGAGTTCGTGTCACCTTCATTGCTTGTGCCATCGTCCACTGTGGGTAGTAGCAGAGAAAGCAGCAGCTCCCTGTTTGCAACAATAGAGTCTAGTGTGACAACAGAACAAAGCACACTGAGAGCATCTTCAGAAAGCTCGTTGTCAGTATCACCATCGTCAGTTGTGTCCTTTTCGACACTTGTTGTTAGCAGAGAGAGCAAGAGATCGTCATCAGCAGTTTTAGTCTCCAGTGTGGCATCAAAGCAAAGCACAGTTGCACAGTCATTTGGTAGTTCATTGCTGCTGTTACCATCATCGGTTGCAGTATTGTCGACTGATGGTATTAGCAGGGAAAGCAGCAGGTCATTATTACCACTAATAGTGTCCAGTTTGGCATCGGATGAGAGTACCGTGAAGGTGTCTTCAGAGATCTCATTGCTGGAAGTACCATCCTCACAAATGAAATCGTCGACTTTTGATGTGAGCAGTGCAATCAGTGTATAC